GAATTTAGCAATAAAGAAATGATTGCTATAAAAGTCTAAGTGTCTCCTTTTCCACAAAAATGTTAAGATCAAAAGAAAGATAACTTTTTCAGCCAACATTTGCTCACTGCTGATTGTGTGGTAGGTACTGTTAGGGACTTGAAGGTGACAAGATGAGATCCCTGACCTTGGGGAGCATTACAGTCCAGTGCTGTGCTGACTCAAAGGTGGCCAGTGGACTGGCGTCACCGGGCTCTCAGAGGATTCAGAATCCCAGGACCTCCCACAGACCTGACTTGGACTCTGCATTTTAATAAGATCTCCTGGGATTTATGTGCATAACAAAGTCCACAAAGGACTGGTTGAGTAAGTACAAAAAAAGTGATTTTAAGGATCACTGGAGAGGCTGTAGGAGAGGCACCAATAGGTTTATTTTATTTTAAATATATTATATGGCCCTGGCTGGTGTAGCTCAGTGGATTGAGTGTGAGCTGCAACCCAAAGGGTCACGGTTTGATTCCCAGTCAGGGCATATGCCTGGGTTGCAGCCTGGTCCTCAGTGGAGGCCATGTGAGAGGCAACCACACATTGATGTTTCTCTCCCTCTCTTTCTCCTTCCCTTCCCCTCTCTCTAAAAAATTTTTAAAAATAAATAAATTAATATATGGATTAGTCCATAACATTTGTCCCAATTTTTTCCTCTTTGCCCCCCTCCACCCAGCATCCCTATTCCCTCCAGCAATCCCCACCATTAGTTCATGTCCGTGGCTCATGCATGGAAGTTTTTTGGCTTCTCCATTTCCTATACTGTTCTTAACATCCCCCTGTCTATTCTATGCCTACCAATTTGTGCTTCTTACTCCCTGCACCTTCCCCCCATTTTGCTCCTTCCCTCTCCCAGCTGATAACCCTCCATGTGACCTGCATATCTATGATTCTGTTTCTGTTCTGCTTGTTTGCTTAGTTTGTTATTTGGATTCAATTATTGGTAGTTATGAATTTATTGCCCCTTTAATGTTCATAGTTTTGATCTTTTTCTTATATAATTCTCAGCATTTCATATAATAAGGGCTTGGTGATGATAAACCCCTTTAGTTTTACCTTGTCTGGGAAATACTTTATCTTCCTTTCAATTCCAAGTGATAGCTTTTATTTTTTTAATTTGGAATTTTAATTTGAGAGTAAGTTCATTTTGGTCTTCTTATATCAGAAGAATCTCAAAATCATTGCTCAGTTGTAGGGGACCTTCTCAACTAAACCCCTTTCTGGGGACCTTTTCATTAAAGGTTGGGACAGAGTTTAGATGCTTGATTGTTAACTACTCCCCGAGTCTCGGACAGTCCAAGGCCTCTGTCTGTGATGGCCTCTGTGCTGGGGCAGCCTCTCTCCCTCCCAGTGTGCCCGCCCCAGGGGACTGCAGGCAGCAGTGTGCTGCCATATTGCTCCCATATCAGGTGATCCCACGGGGACAATGTGGCTAGGGCTTTGAGGGTCAGGTCTGTTAGGGAGTCTTTTCAAATGTGAAACACTGCAAGGTGGGAATGCTGCTTGGATCCTCGGTAAATACAGGTGTTTGTACTTCATCTTTCCATTTAGGGAAACACCATTATGAATGCCATTGAAAGGGACCTCCTCTGGCTCTTCGCACTGAAGCTCAGTGCAGAGGCACGTTTCCATTCTTTTGAATATTGAAGCAGTGGTAGGTGGTGGTGGGGGGTGCCGCAAACAGGCCCTGCTCTGAATAGGTGACAGGCTGGGTCTATCTTGATTCAGTCAGTTGTTTAACCCCCTGGGGGGGCAGGTGGTGAATGAGGAAGTAGGATTTAGTGTACTGTGGGAGTTGGCTCGTGGTGGCCCTGAGGGTAAAGATATTTTTTTCTTTTTCTTTTTCTCTTTTTTAGTTTTAAATGCCTGGCTCAAACTGTTTACTTCTGGATGTTGAGATAAGCTTTCATTATTAGTGAGTATAAATTATCTCAGAGGATTTCCATTTAAATCTACTCCTAAATTATTTATAAGAGATGACAGTTGGTGGAAAACCTACTGCTCCCTGTCCTAGAAGCTGAAGGTCCCTGTGAGTCGTCTGGGTGATTCACAGCGTAACCTGATAGGGTGCACACTTCACTGCTGCGGCCCAGGCAGGGCCGCCTTAGGACAGGACGCAATTTAGAGGGACTCTCCTCTAACCATATATAGTAGTTACATGGTTTTTTAAAATCTTTTTCCACGTTTGTCTCTGTTCATAAGCGTTCTGTCTGTGGGCCCCACTCCCAGGCATGCCGGCCAGCCGCAGCAGTTCCGAAGTGTATATATAGCACTGTTCTTCGTTGGTTTCTAACTTCAGGGCCTTGCTTCTCCTATTCTCCCTTCCAGATCTGAAGGGGAGGGTCCGGGCAGAAAAGGCACGCATGGAAATTAAAAGCCGCAGTGTTCATTTGTGGCCTTTGAGGCCAAAAAACTGATGGCACTTGAAATTGGTTCCCACTCTTGGCTGGCATTTTACACAGATGGCAGGTGGGCCAATTACGTGCCTGAGTGGGCTGAAGGGTTTGTCTGGTCCTCTGTCCTGTCATGTTTAACAGTTTTTATTAAATCTAAAACTTCCATTTCAGCTAAACTCCTTTTTTAAGGATGGGTATATATCAAAACATGAAATATTGTGTCTTTTGGCAAAGACCCTCCAAATGAATTCAATCTATCCCTTTGACTCTTAGTAGAAGCATAAGTAAATCTTTTCATTAATGGGTATTTGACTCAGTAATTCCCAAAGAAGGTGATTCTAGAACTTCCCTTAGTAATACGTTCTGGTGCCTCCCAGTTCTTAGTGTTAACTTTTCTTTAACATGTTACTTAAATCATTCCTGAAATAATATGGGTCCATTTCTTATCCTATAGGATGCGTAGGCTTCTCACCACCCTCAAGTGCTAATAACTTAATCATAACCTGGTGTATAGATCCTGCAGCCATTTCAGCCCTTGGGCTTCATCCCGCAAGGAAAGGACAGGGGTGCCGGCCAGGAGGCAGCTGCAACGAGCTTGGCTGCTAAAGCTGTGCCTTTCATTCTGTAAGCCCTCTCGGCTCCCACTGAACATGTCACGTACGCAAGGTTATTTGTCTGATTCCCCAGTGCCCGAAGCTCCCACGTGGCAGAGGGTAGGAAGGGAGCGGTTTCTGGCCCGTAAGGTAACAGTAGAAGTTCCGGTTTGACGGCCTGACAGTGAGAGGGGCGAGGGAAGGCACTGCACAGTGAGGGACAAGGGTAAAATCTGCTCTGGCGGCCTGTTCAGAAGGTCTGGGGAAAATGCACTGTAGGGTAGATTTCCACGGGAAGCATGGTTAAATTCAGATGTTGCATTACATCGAAGATTACAGCTGAAGCTATTTGAAAAAAACAGATTTTATTCTAAAAATGAGGATTTTCCACTGCAGTGCTGTTGTGAACATAAGCTGTAACGAAATACACGAAACGCACAGCACAAGTTAGCTGTGACCTGGCTGCTGGGAGGGCCTCCCAGGTTGGCAGTCCAGATAATTAAAATGTGTGGTTCATTCTAGTTGCCAAATAAATATAGTTTGAATGAATGTAATAGCTTTTCGTGAAGCCCACTTAATGATTTTCTAAACTAATTGGAATATGCTCTAACATGGGTAGTTAAAATCTCCGTTTCCTCTAAAGCTGATTTAAACCCCTGTAGTCTGTCTGGTCACGCAGGAACTCGGTCCCGTTGGAACAGTGGTTGATTTATCTGACCTTCTTTTATATAAGCGAAGGTATTAATAATCATGGCCTGGTATAACAGAAACGTGGGAGAGTTAGTAGATGGAGAAGTGGTTATTGTGCAGATGCATCCAGGGGTCTTGTGAATGAATGATGGGAAATCCAGGAAGTTTTTCAGAAGCCCAGCATCAGTGTGTACCTACTTTGAGAGAGAGTCAGGAGCCTAGTCCCTGAATTGACAGCATCTTTTTCTGGCCTGTCCTTCAGCTCTTTCCCAGATGTGTGTAGGAACAGGAGGTACCAGAGGAAAGCACATCGGTCACTAATGACGCCAGTTCATCTCTGCCATTGTATGTGATCGTGAGTGTACTTCGATGTGTCTGAGCTGGGAAGAGCATTCCGCAGCACTTACTGTGTGCAAAGAACAGCACAAGGTTTATTTCAGCTTAGATGTTTCTAAGTTAAAAATGGAGCTGCAGCATGGAGACTCAAGGGGGAGACAGCAGTGTTTCTGGTTTGGAGTCCGTGGGGTCTGGTTTTACATCCTTACCGAACGTAAACATGGACGCCAGGGTGCCATAACCTCTGAAGTGGTGCGCAGCATTGGAGAGGAGTATTTCCTGGTATGACGGTCCTTCTTTGCATTTTATGTTTTGATTCTCAAATATGTCTTTGGCTCAGAAAGAACATTGGATGCTTGAACTTTGATGTTAGCCACTGGTGCTGTATATAATTTATACTGTTTTTGCCCTTATAATAGTGATCGAAGTAGAGAGATCATCCCAGTTTAATAGCTGGAGCAGGTCCAGAGTGTTTGGTGATATAGGCAGCATTGCTGGCAAGTGGCGAAACTTTTGACCCAGTGGTGTCTGACGTGACTTGGTTCCATTACTGACTCCTCCGAGATGTGACATCGGGCATGTCACACACTTTCTCTGAGCCCGAATTTCCTCATCTGTAAATTGAGGGGTTTACACAACATCATCTCTTGAGGGCCCTTTTAGCTTTTAACCGGATCCCTATCTGCGCCACCTGGACTGTTTTGTGGCCTCTCACTTCCGTCCTGGTGCCTGTCCTCTGTCGTGGTTCCTGTGCTGGTGGGTGCTGTCCATCCCGGGAGCACTTTGCAGCAGCTCTGTGTTTTTCTACAAGTGCTCCAACCCTGGTCAGCTTGTAGAGCCCTTTTCTTATAAAAGCTCAATGAATTCTAGATGTATGACGCAAAATCCTGCGTTCGTGATTTTATATCAAAGTTTCTTTTTAATTGCAATTTGTTTTAGTATATTTGCTCAATTCTGAGTTAAGAAAAGTGAGATAGACCCAGTTTGTCTACTTGTTGCTTATTAGCCTTACTCTGAATAACATTTAAAAAATGTAGTTAGTGATTTGGGGGAGAGACAGACATGGATTTGTTGTTCCCCTTATTTATGCTTTCATTGGTTGATTCTTGTATGTGCCCTGCCTGGGGATTGAACCTGCAACTTGGTATTGTGGGACAATGCTCTAACCAACTGAGCTACCCTGCTAGGGCCAGAAGAACATTTTGCAGGGAGGATGCTAATTCAAGTGTCTATGATGGAAAGTTGCAGGGACTTTTAACATTCCTCAAGCCATGAAATTTTGTTGGCCATGGATGAAATGCTGCACCCAGATGTGGCCCAGCCTGTGGCTGTAGATATTTTGAATGTCAAGATTAAGGGTTTACACAGGAGTCTGGGGACAGAGCCTGTAGCTAATTGCTACTAGCCCGGCTCTCAGATGATGGTTCTCTCTGATAAGATGGTCTGTTAAGAGGTGGAGAGGAATGACTCGGGGGTGAGACCTGCCAGGGGGCAAGCCTAAGGGACTGTCAGCCCTACCCTGGCTGCTGGTGGAAGATGGGAGAGGCCGTAACAGGTGCAAGAATGGCCGTGTTCCACCTTTGCTGAAAGCTCGGAGTGAAGTAAGACTGCTTCAGATTTGGAAGCATGTTTCCTTAGATCGTGACTTTCCTAAATCCGCCTAGGAAGGCTGGATGCACCTATCACTATATATCCTTTGAAAACCCCTTCTCAGAATCCCACTTTCAGAAGCGTGGTCTGATAACAGTCAGGTTGTTTTTATCCCGAAGTCTGTAGTCTGTGCAGACTTGCATTTCAGTAGGTTTGCTGGAGTTCAGAAGTTTGAGCTGCCACTGAAGTATTGGCTGTGCAGAGGCGGGGTTTTCCGTCTCCAATGAGGCGCCTTCAGTCCCCGGAAAGCCTATCATCTTTCACAGGGAGTGCTGGCTCTGTAATCCAAGCAATAGCCACGCAGCCCGATTTATTGTTTGTGGAGTCCTGTGGATCCCGAGCGGCTCCCAGCTGGGAAAGAGGGAAAGAGGGCAAGTAGGCGGTTTAGGGTTCCGCGCTGGGCTGCCGCAGCAAGTGAGCTGAACTCTGATTTCTCCTAAGTCACCTGTTTGGGTGAACTCGAAACTGGGCACCTGCGTTGACGCCGCATCTCTTTATCCAGGCTGAGGAGTTCCTTCTGTCTGCCACAGACGGCTGGCTCTCCGCCCTTGCAGGGAAAGATGCCTGGGAGAGGAGTAGGATTACAGGTTGGGATGCGAGGTGCACACCAGAGAGTCGGAGTGCCTTGGCTCTGTTCTTCGCAAAGTCCTGACAAGTGTTCCTGAAAGGAACACCCTGCTTGATTTTTAAAATTGCACTTTTATTTATTTTTATTTTATTTGGGGGAGGGCCGTGGCTACCCCTGATCTAGAAACCAAGTACCACAGTGTCGCTGGAGTAAAAAAAAAAATTTTTATTGTTTTTTTAACCCCTCATTTTTCTTTTCTTTGAAATTGGGTGCATTAAGCTGTGCCTGACTCTCAACATTGTCTGAATAAGTGGGAAGGAGCAGGCTCGTTAGAAGGACCTGGACCAATTTAAAAACACAAGCTTTTTGTTTGCTGGGCTGTCCTTTGTCTGTAGTGGATTTTGATGTGAAAGAAGATGAAAAAGGAAGGCTCTTCAGGTTCCTTCAGACTCAAGTCAAATTCGGGTTCTCTCTCACGTGCCGTAAGTTGGATAAATTTCTCCTCCTTGTCCAGGCAGACAAAGAGGCTGTTTCGCAGTGACGGAGAGCTCTCGGTTTGTGGGCGGCAGGTGGAAGTGGATGATGAAAACTGGATTTACAGAACCCAGCCCAGAAAAGGTGACTTGACTCTTTTTGAATTTAAGCATTTTTAGAAGTTTGCCATGTAGAATTCTTTGTTTTTAGCACTGATTTTCCCTTGCGATCTTTGGCCTCATTAGGAGTTTTTGGTTGTTTTTGTATTGGGATTCACTGTCATCCATATGTTTATATATCTAAAATAAAAGGGCTCTTCCAACTAGATTCAGCTTGAGGTTGTGTCCTCGGAGAAGGTTAAAGTAGCTCTTATTCGTCCTCAGCACACTCTGCCCCCCCTACCCCCCCCCCCCCCCAGATCTGCACACTCCTGTTACTGGTGAAAAGTTCAGTGGTAAACCACGAATATTCTGCCCTTAAAACCATTTGAGGTTAGGACACGGAGCTGTTTTTTGAAACAGTGCACTGAGAAAACTTTGGCAGTCATGGACAGTCCCCTTGCATCTCTTCATAGAAGACTGATGAATTAGATGGGTGCTTAAATTAAACAGGCGTTGGGCTGGCAGCAAGGAAGATTAACACACGTAGGAAGGGTTTGGCCAAAAGGAGTTTTTGGATTTCTTTCAAGTTCCTTTTCAGACCAACGTTGGTCTCTTTTTTCAAGTTTAGCATGTTTTGCCTTCCTCCAAGTGAAGAAAAATATCTCTCCTGGTGGGAGAGAGGGAAATGTTTTAGTATTTCTTAACACACCCCTATTTTGTATGTAGAATTGGAGTTCTTCCTCTTAGAATGTTTGCCATAGGCTGGATTGTTAAACTCTAAAATGGTTTCAGCATTCAGTGCTGTGGCAAAGCCCAGTAGGGGGGCGCTATTTAAGTATCACAAAGGAACCTAGTCCAGACATTCCGCGTGATCGTGTTTTCTGTGTTCATCATGTTTTTCCCTTGCCTAAAGAAACCGCGCTGGAATCTTCCAGGGACCTGCTGTTTCCCTTCTTTGGGAAAACAAAACTGCTGGAATATGAGAGAATAAGCCGAGTTAAATATGTACAGTAATTATACTCCGTGGACTGAGACTCAAGCCCTTCCCTTCTTCCTGGACCATGTGTGCTAAGTCATTTGTTCTTGTCTGCTCAACTGTGGTACAAGGGCAACTAGTTAATGTTCTTTGAAGATGACAGTTGTGTATCGTGTCAAGGAGGTGGTCAACCGTGGGCCACTGGTCCTGAGCCTAAAAGTACGGGTTCTCAGTTCAGATGCTGTGTAATTGCCAGGCGTAGACAAGACATTTGTGCCTTCCATCTGGAGTTGTGTAGTTTAGTAAGTCCATGAACTTGACTTTTCTAAATCAGGCATAAGTTGTGGTTTTGGTAAATGGGTGGGTTACACTGTTTGAAGCAAACATGTTTGCAGGGCGGATACAGTAGTGCTGTGGTTGCAAGAGGGTATAGTTTTGATTCCTTTGGACATTGCCAAAGGTGTTTTTTTTTTCTATTACTTGTTTTGTTTTAAATCAGCTGCTGTCAAGGGTTTGTTTAAGATTGAATACATTAGTATGTGGCTTTGGGATTTCTATCATAGATGCTTTATCTCAGTTAACATTAATGGGGGCAGAGACTGTGAATTTGCATGTGTTCATTTTAGTTGGGAAACGAAACAAATATTGTACACTCGACTTGTGAAAAATAAAGAAGTCATTGTAAAGAACAGGGGTGACTTGTAAAGGGAAGGGAGGACTTGTTTATGCAATAATACAAAAGATTGTTCCTTTTCTCCCTTGGTGTAACAGGGGACAGACACAGCAGCCTCATGAGGAGAAATTGGAGCATAATACAGTGTGGAAATTTATGAGGTTCTTAGAAATTACTGGGCAGATCATATTATCATTTTTGACGTATGGATTTGGGGGAAACTGTTTACAAACTGCCTATAGATCAACATTCATGATACTATATTCTATTTTCCTGTTTGTCTACCAAAAGAAAATTGACTTCCAACTTTGACATATCACCTCAGAGGAATGTTATAACAGTTGATCTTTATTCCACATAATTCTTTCCTTTGGAGAAATACAGAAATGACATTTGTTTATACTTGCAGATCAAAAGAGGAAAAATCTTTCAGAGACATTATGCAGGATTGGAGTTTTGTCTTAGCATCAAATGAGCTAAAACTCTATCAAGGACTAGCAGCCAGGACTCAGAATGCCCAATGGCCATATTAGCGTTTGGTTGCAAATAAATGTGCATTGAAGACACATCAATCTGATGTGTAGTATCCTTTCTTTCTTTTGTATCTGCACAGACCACGTGCATCTGAATCCACTTTCCTTTCTGCCTACTTGCCACCCCTGTGCCTCATAGGAACATTGTTCGATTCACATAGGTTTCTGAAAACCTGCTTTCCCTCCTACCCTCCCCCCATACACTGCCATCAAGCAGTGACAGCTAGAGGAAGGACAGTGTAGCTTAACGAGTCAACCTCCCTGCAGCAGTTGGTCTGTCCATGTGTTGTGTCCCCCACCCCCCCTCTCCCACCCCTGCAGCAATGGGTTCTTTCCCCCCCCCCTTCCTGTCCAGCAGCTGCTGCAAGGCCAGAGCGCTTGCCTGCTCTCTCCCACTGGGTCCAGGTCACATTGCTTTGCACAATTAGCCCACGGAATCTCTGCTCTCAGTGTGGGTGGTATGTTGTGTAAGATTTACAGTCATTTTATGAAACGGTTCTGCCAAGTTTTGTCAAAACCAAAGAAGTTCTTTTTATAGTGACTCTCCATGCTGGATTGCTCATTAGAAACCTCAACATAAAGTGTTCAGTGGATTACCCTTATGAATAGTTATCAGTACACACACCTATAGCTTTACAGTTTAACGTGTCACTTGTACTCAAGAAGCTAAAGATAAAATTACAGTTCTCAAGACTACTTTGGAGAAACTTCTTATAAGACTAGCATGCTACTCATATGCATCTTTCCAATTATACTACTTTTTTTCTTTTTAAAAAATATTTATTTATTTTTAGAGAGAGGGGAAGGGAAGGAGAAAGAGTGGGAGAGAAACATCAATGTGTGGTTGCCTCTGGTGTGTCCCCCACCGGGGACCTGGTCTACAACCTAGGCATGTGCCCTGAGTGGGAATTGAACCAGCAACCCTTTGCTTCACAGGCCTGTGCTCAGTCCACTGAGCTTTATCAGCCAGGGCCAATTATACTAGTTTTCCTGAGCTTCAAAAGTACCATATTTTGCCATAAATAATGCATACTTTTTGCCCAAATTTTCGAGGGAAAAGTAAGGATGCGTATTACACATGGGTAGTACTAAGGGTGTGCATTATACTTGGGTAGCACTGAAAATGTGGGTGTGCGTTATACCCAGCAAAATACTAGGAGATACATACTGATACATCCAAGCAATTACAAGCAAATACTTGCTTTCATTCCAGCACATGGCAAGTTTCAGAACTCTCTTCCATTGACATTTGTGCTCAAGAAGGTAAAAACGAATTGGGTAAACGGCAATGATCAGTTCTTCCATTGTTAGTGTGACATGACCCACTATAATAGCAAATGGTGTTTTGACTTAATTAGCCATAAAAATCAAAGGTGTGAGTATGTGTCCTCTTGGGTATTACATTTGGAGAATCATGAGCTATTTTGTTAGGTGCCTGTGTAGTAAAAAAGCAGAGGTCAGTTGTAGATGAGACAATGGCAGCTTTCCATGTGAAGTTGTGAGAGCAGAGTCCTGAGAATTATGTGTGGGACACACAGAAATAGAGCATAGAGACTCTGAAATAAATGAGTCCATACTGTAATGGAGAAGACATTTAAGGGGGAATTAAAGAAAAATGCAGGATAATTGAGGAGAACAGCAAAAATGAATGGCTTAAGATGAGCAGGTTGAGATAAAGATAGACCAGCTGGAGCATTTTCATGTTTTGCATGGTCTTTTGGCTGTTCGCATTGGTTTAAACAATATTTAAGGAGCTCCTGCTCTGTTTTAACATTGAGGGAGGTTTTCGAGGGAAACTGGTGACTAATAGTATTTATTCTGTGCTCCCCCTATCTTTCTCACTTCCCCTCTCTTGTTAACTAAAACCAGAAGAGGTGGAATAATAATGGAGCATCCTCCCATTGCACAGAGCATGTTCTGTTGTGTTCTCAGCCCTGTGTTCAGCTGGGCGGAGGCGTGATTGATGGTGGCAGTATTGACAGGTCAGCAGATAGAGAGGGTAATTGACATGCAAAGCCTCAGTTTAAACAGTGCTTTCACTCTCTTCTTCTGGACTTTGTCATATATGTTTATCACATTACCAAATTTGAGTCATTTGAATTTCAGTTCCTTCCCTTCCCACAGACTACAGAAACAGCCAGAATGGCCTTAATAGGGATCAAGGGTAATGGATAATCCATACATGAGATAATCAACTACTGAAGGTGGGATTTGGTTATGTTTAAAGTAACTTCATTCCAATGTCCTCCTAAATAAAATTGTTGCAGAAAACAGGATCCATGTGCATAATTAGATTGGCAATGACTTCAGATATTACAATGGAGAAAAATGGCGTGGAAGACCCCACACAGCAAGGTCAGCATCCTGCTCCTTTGTAAATAGCTGGGATTTCTTTTTACCACAAAAGTCTTTAAAATTATGGAGATTAAGAACACTTTGTTCCCAGCATTAAAGAAACCTAACAAATATTGGTAAATCATGTCAAGGCAGCACACCAAATTTGAGAGTAAAAGTAGAGAAATAAGTAATATTTATTTTGAGAATTACTATGTACGTTGGAAAAATAGCTACATGGAGTTCATCCCAGTGTCTTCATAGAAGAGGTAAAAAAGAGTATTCTCATGCAGTGAAGGTAATGTTCTCCTGCATTCTTCCCTCCCCCCCCACACACACACACACAGCCGACACTCCGAAAGAGACCTGCAGTGAGGGAGGGAGGGGCGCGCAGTGGTTCACCTGGCTCATCGAGAGGGCTCTTCTGACCTCTGAGTGTTTTCTCTGTTGAAGTTGGGAATCTCTTATCTCACTGCCTGGTTTCGTTGCAAAGATTGATTTCATTTGTTATTAAATTGAAGTTCTGT